TTGGGTGTCACTTCCTGGGGGACTTTAAAAAAAAAAAAAAAAAGAAACCAGAACGGCTCTGCCTTTAACACAGATCTCTGCAGTTGTCACGGTCAGCCTTGGCCAGCCACCGCGAATGGCGGCCGCTCTGAATTGTAATTCTTCAGAAGTCACTGTCAGCGTTTCTGCTCCATGTCCTTTCTGCTGTCTGAACTTTTCAGTGCTGGCAGCTTATGTACCATATTGAGAAGAAAGTAAGAAATTAGCTAAGAAACTTCTTACTGTTGACAGTGGATACATGGAGTAAGGAACTATGTAAAATAAGAAAACGATTATGGAAGGAACTCTGGTACAGTAAGAAACACTCATGGAAAGAGCCCAATAAAATACTCTGACTTACATAACCTGTTGGCAAAGCTTTGGGCGGTGTGTGTGTGTGTGTGTGTGTGTGTGTGTGGCTGGGTGGCGGGCAACGCCTGCGCCATCTTATTTGCTACTTACCAAATGTCTAAATTCTACTGAGAGACTCCCATTGGAGGCTTCCTCAATGGACATGGCTTTGACTTGAGTCCCGCAAAGCACAAATCTTCTATTGCTAGAGAGAAAAGTTTTTGCCTTTAAAAAAGGTTTTGGGTCAACAAATACTTGGATAATTTTTACAAACAAACAAAAAAATCTGCCAAGTAAATATCTTACCTCAGAGTTGAGACATTCCTGTAAAAGCAAGGAGAGCCTTTCAAGTTAGCTGGCTATTAGACCCGGGAAGGTATTTCTAGACTACTACCACTTAAAGTCACACTACAGGGAGCGTCATCTAAGTCTTCATAGTTAAGTAATGCTTGAACTTGAAATTGAGTATTTGAAGTGGTAAGAAAAGTTAGAGAAATAGATATTCAAGATCAATTATGATTATGTAAGAATTAAAAAAAAAACCTGTCATTGCCATATGTGAAATGGAATTTTGAAATCTTACTTGTCAATGGAAGCTTTCACCTTCACCTGGTAGTTGAGCTCTGGCAATTTTATTAGTAGTCTGAGAAGAAATGGGAAAAAAAAAGAACCAAAGACAGAAATTTAGAAGCGTCCCTAAGTTAGGTGCTCAGGAAGGATATACAGAGGACCGAGGTGCTCAAAGTTTTGTGGGAAGAACATTTACTGGGTAATCACAGGGAAGCCTGCCGCACCCGTTTCCTGGACATCGCGTCTCCTACCATGGGTCCCCATCTGCTTTGCCATTCTGTTTCTCTCGGACAGTTCTCCCCTTCTCTCTTCCTGGCCTTTCCTCACGTTAACCTTTTTCAGCAATTAATCCCAGATTGCCTGATATGATGAACACATACGTTCATGCTAACATCCCTCATGTCTTCATTACTATCCCACGTTGTCATGATCTTGACAAACAAACTCTCGTCAGAACTCCCCTGCGGGGACTTGCCAGAGTCCAGCCTGGCCTCTCAGCAGGTGCTCGACCAGGAAGGGCTGAACGGAAGGTGCCTTCATTAGCAGTGGCGGTCGCGCCAGAGATATAAAAAGAACGGACTGTGTTCCGCCTACCTCAGTTTGGTAGTGAACTGTATGAGGGTTTTAAGGACCATCGGCCTCTGAGGGTGTGTCGGCATGCACGGCTGTCGCTCAACCACAAACGAGCTACATGGAAAGGAAAGACCCTTTGAAAATGTTGAAAATTTAAGCCACAGAGAAACTGGGTGCGAACTTCTTACACCTGGAAGAGGCTGACGCCCCCATCCCACCTCCGGCCTCCCCAGCAGTTTCTCAAGTCATTAGTGTAAAATAACACGGAAAAGGTCTGAAGGCCATCCCTAATTAACAACAGTAAATCTTAATCACCCTTTACGGACTCAATAAACATCCCTGCTCATCCCACACGACAAAAGAGGGACTTCGTTTCATGCCGTTTGGGACTGAATGTTGGGAGGTCTGGTGCTAAAAATTAGGATCCCACAAAGTGCTCCCCACCCTCGTTTCTTGGATGCGCTTGCAAGATGAAACCCTTCGTCTTGTCTCAAATGTGAAAACTGAGCGGGAGGTGGGTGATGCGGTTTGAGTACCGTGCAGAAAACTTGAGTCCGCTGCTGAGAGACACACACGCTGCCGATTAAGGAGCCAGGAGTGGAAATGCGGTCCTGGGGCTCTCTGGGCTCTCCGACTGCTTCCCGGGGTCCCTACCACTCTGCCCCACTCTGCCCCGCGCCCAGCGAGTGTTACAGTCACAGCGAGCGAGCGTGCAAGCGATTCACTTACTTCTTGAAAAGGTTGTAGATCAGGAAGGTGGCTCTCTCCAGCAGGTGTGCTCTCTGAGTGGGGATGGGGTCGCCTTCGTAAGTCATCTTGGTCGATTGCTCCTCTAGCTTCTCCAGTTGTCGTCTGAGTTGGAAAAGACTTTCTGCCAACAGGGTAAAGCTATTGGAACAGCAAATGACAGGTGTTTGTCCCCACTTCGTGGCTGAGCTGGTTTAGCAACTAAATAATAAACTATTAAGTGGTTGAATTAAAGAAATCATTTAATTGCAATGATGATTTATGACAAGTCTTTATTGTCTTTTCCTCAACCTTCTCTTCTTTTTAATATGTATCGTGTTAGATGTCTTCTAATTTGGGCTTTTAATTTACAGACATCCTTTATGAGTTATCGTCAACATCTGGAACCAAATCCCTTTTAATTGGCCTTGAGATCCTGTTAAGTGTGTGTATGAAGAATTTGGAGAGAAACCAATTTAAAGTGTAGGGTACAAGGTATGGAGACTGTGGTGTGGAAATCCACCTACCTCCCCCCTCCCCCACTGCACACATTTGTTGTCCCTGAGTTTTGGTGGGCAGCGGTTGACCGAACCATTTCGGCAGAAGTCACACCATGTTTGGGAATGCTTGCTTCTGAGCTCCAAGTGGATCTTTCCTTAGAGATGGCGGGGAGGAGCTAGGTCCTAGCCAGAGAAGGCCAAGAAAGACTGGACCAGACTAGGAAGAAGAGGGGGCCCGAGCGTGAGGAGCAGAGTAATCCCAGCTCTCAAGCATTAGACAGAAGGGACCAGGCAAGGAGCTGTGGCCCCTGCTGGGTTTCACTGTGGGCACCGTGGCTGGGGTCTTCCTTGCTCCCTTTGTTGCTTGTCTTGTTTTTACAGCAGATCTCTCTGGGTTTGGAGAATTGAGGAAAATCAATATATTTTAAAATGATGCATGGATGTCTTTACTTCTCTTGAGAAGTAAGCCCGAGCAAGCAGGGGCATGACAAACTTCCATTTTCTGGAATTATCCCTCAGAAAGCAATTTTGAAATTTTAACGGAACAATCCGGCTTCTCTGTGTGTTTTTCTATTGCTCTCTCAGACAGTCTTATTTTCTGTTGGTGAGTCAGAAAACTTTATCAACATTTTATCTTGTCATCTAAAAAGGTAGTGTCTACATTTAATGGCGGGTCTGTGTTTTAAGAGGAGACGTCTTGCTGTTGACTGCTGGAGATTATGTAACTTGAAATGGTGCTATACTTTTATATAGGGTCTTGTTCTGCTTTTGCGGCTCCCCTGAGATGGAGGTGTGTGTCATCCTGCCTAGCTGAACTTTCTTTTTAACTGGCCAGCAAACTTTGTGTATATTTGTGGTTTTACACATGGTGTTTTGCGATATTTGTATACTGAAGGATGACCAAATCAAAACTAAAACATGTGTATTGTCTCTCACAACCTTCTTCTTGTAAGAACAGAAGATCGACTTAGTAATTTTCAAGTTTATAAGCTATTACTAACTGCAGTCATGATGCGTATTAGAGTTCCCAATTCTTTCCAACGAAAAGTTTGCAACCCTGACCAACATCCTTAACAAAGTGAATGTGTTTGAAAGCATAAAACTAAACATTTAACCATATCATAAGACATACATTTTAAAAAGTTTTTTTAAAAGATTTTTGAAGCTAATTTTTCTTACATCTGTGCAGACAATGCATTGCTGGCTTCAAAAAACTCATTTGAGTCTTTTAAGCTACCAATATCTGAATATTGAGGAATTTTTTTTTTTTTTTTTTTTTTTTTGTTTTTTCGAGACAGGGTTTCTCTGTAGCTTTGGTGCCTGTCCCGGAACTAGCTCTTGTAGACCAGGCTGTCCTCGAACTCCCAGAGATCCGCCTGCCTCTGCCTCCCGAGTGCTGGGATTAAAGGCGTGTGCCACCACCGCCCGGCTATTGAGGAATTCTTATGCATGGGAGATGCTTCCTTTCCTCTGTGCTTGGTGTAACCCGTGCGCTCGCTTGCTCGCTCGCTTGCCGAGCACCCCGAAGCCTGCACTTCCTGTGGTTTTCACTAGAACTAAAGTCAATGGCTTTACCAGTTCTGAAGCTGGTCCAGCCCGTTGTGGAGCGGGCCGCCGATGCAGGCTATCTGCTGCCGCCTCTTCCAGTCCTGCAGCTCCTCGATCAGCAGGTTGTTCATCAGCAGGTCCGACTCGTTCACGATCTGTGTCATCTTACTGAGGGCTTCCTAAAGCCAGAGGGGAGGAAAGAGATGCACACAACAACACCCGGGTTATGCTTTTGCTGACAAAGCATACTGACCTGAGACATGAAGGCTTGATGAAAATTAGCCAAGTATTTAATTGAGACCAGCTCCTACTTGGTCTAGCATTGCCTTTTCAAACATCAAAGTCTTTACAACTGGGTAATGTCACAAGAGTTGTGGCCACAGTAGACATTCCCATGTTTCAGTTTCCGTGTGTCCAACGGAAACTTCTGCGCCAATACTGAACCTTGCTGTCCTACACAGGCGTTTGAACAGTTGTTTGTTCTGCTTGTTTATATGTGTACAGGTGTAGTGTCTGCCTGTACATCCAGACGGTGCGTGTGTGCAGTGTCTACCGAAGCCAGAAGAGGTATCGGATCCTCTAGGAGTGGAGTTTCAACTGGTGATGAACCTGTTTCCCTCCAGAGAGCAGTCAGTGCTCTGAACCCTGGAGCCATTGCTCCAGTGCCTATTTCTATGTTTGTTTGTTTTGTTTGTTTTTTTAAATAAATTTGATTATCCATCTATTTGCAAATACGCTGATTAAAACTCGGGTCTTTTTCAGCAGACTCTACTTGTGCTCATGGAGACAACACGAAGTAACTTTCTAGGCATAGGAATCAGGAGACGGAGTTTCTCTTCGGGTCTTCAACAACACTGCCAGCTTGAACAAAGCATTTGCCTTGCTATAACTTAGGTTTCTCTTTTTCTTTTAATATTTATTTATTTATTATGTATACAATATTCTGTCTGCGTGTATGCCTGCAGACCTCATTACAGATGGTTGTGAGCCACCATGTGGTTGCTGGGAATTGAACTCAGGACCTTTAGAAGAGCAGGCAATGCTCTTAACCACTGAGCCATCTCTCCAGCCCCAGGTTTCTCCTATATGTAACTGGGTGGATGAGCTAAGTTATTTTCAGAGTTCCTTCTCAAATTCTGTCATTCAAACAAAATAAGATGGTACACGTAAAACGTAAACGGATTTTCCATAAAAAAAAGCCTTACATTTGGATTAATTCCTTACATGCTTGCAATATATAAATATTCCTAGTTATATTTATAATCAATTTAAGGTGAAATAAACTTATATGGAATCATGTAAGTTCATTCACCGAAAAGTGATCGCTTAGAAATGAACCTACTGATTTAAGTTATTGGTTAAATCCCAACAGCATTGCCTTTTAAAGACAGAGAGAAAATTGAAATAAGAATATTTAATCTCTTGAAAATATATCATTGAGTCAAAAATATTTATGCTTGGTTGCCAACAAATGATACGTGAGTTTGGAAGATTTTATAAATGGGACAATATTTAACAATCTCATTCTCAGAAGAAAATATAGAACATAGTATTCTTTCCAATAAGGTTTTAAGTCATCGAGCAATTTTTAATTATAAATGTGCAGTGTAACCCACTTCAGCATGCTAAACAGTAAACAATAAAACTCGGTACACCTTCTGTTTTAAGTTAATGATACCTCCAGCAGCATTTCAGAGGCCAAGGGGGGCGTGGAGCAGGTTGGGTACACAAGTATACTCAGTCAGGGAGGACAGTTTCTGGAAACACCACCTTGTTTTCATTCAGTGTAAAGGGAACTGATAAAATCTGAGGTCTTGATTATTTTCAGTAGGATGAGGTTTAGGGGGAAAAAGCCAGGCAAACTGGCCGATTTAAAAATTCTCCACCGACCTTTCTCTTGAAGTCCAGGCTATTAAGCATTTCTTGCAGGGTCAAAACTTCCTGGTTCATTAGAATGCTGTTCTTCTCCCCGTGGTCTGCAAAGGATAGGAGGCCAGATTCAGAATACTCACTTCTGGGGCAAGCCTTTCAGTCCCCCTAAGCCAAGTCCATCTCAATCCACCTCCACACCCTGGGCAGGACCAGGGACCTAGACTGTCCGAGACAACACGGCTCCTGGTGTTGAGCATGGAAGGCCGATCTGGGAATGTTCTTATCCTGCCAGGAAGGATTCCAGCCAAGCGTGCACAGGGACCTTACATCTATCGACACACCAGAAGGAGGATGCTCTTCCCCTGGTACTCAGTTTTTGGTGGTAGACAATGGAAGGTTTGGCAAGGGCTTGTTTTACTGGTTCTGCCTGCACTAAGGAACAAATGCTGGTTAGATTTAAGGGAAGGGGATTCCTTGTGCTCGTGATTAAATCATGAGACTCCTCCTATGGCCTCTCCCCATCTCTCCCCAGTACGTTCATTCTCTGCCTGGGAGAGTTAGTTAGTCTTAATGGACTTACGAGAACCAGTAAAGCTAAAATGTCTACTTTTTCATTTTACAAAATGGACTAGTCTCACAGCAGAACTGGTCAGGGAAAAGTACAGAAAATGAACCAAAATGAAAAATCGTTTAGCCCCTTGAATGGGAAGATATGCCATAAACCAATACCGTACTTCTTAGTTTGAATATTGGTACACAGTAAGTGCAGAGGGCTGAGGATGCTTATCTTAAAAAAAAAAAAGCCAACAAAACCACTGTTCCAAATTTCTCTACAAATATCGTTAATCTTCAGGATGTTATTTCTGGTTTTAACAGCTCAATAGTTCTCCATTTCTTCAGTGCTACTCACAGTAAAATGTTGTGTGTATATTGCTTTATCCACTGAAATTTCATTAGCCAATACTTTCCAGTTTTCTCTATAATTTGTTTCTCTTTCACTCATTCGTAATTTGTTATCTTATTAAATTAACAAGATAATTTGTTATCTTTCATTTCACTTGTATCCACGTGGGGAAAATACTTGTTGATTTTGGTCATTAAAAATGGGCATTTTTAAGCATTTTTTGGTGTCTGTCTGTTTGTGGCGGGCTGTCACACAACCCAGGCTGGCCTTCTACTCCTGTGTGGCTGAGGGTGACCTTATATTCTTCTTGCCTCCACCTCCCACATGCTGGGTGTTACAGGTGTAAACCACCACATCGGAATTCGCTTTTAAACTCTTTACAATACACATGAAAAGTAAAAAGTGTTGAGGTAACATAGATAAAAAATGCTACACTCAAAATAGTTTTATTGTTTAGGGTATCATGCTATATTGTAATTCTTAAACTTCACAGCTTATGTGGAAATTGGAATACATCTGTCTTCAATGACACTTGATGAACTAGTCAGTGTTTCCCGACTTTTCTAGGATCATGGATCCCTTTGATAAGTGATTAAACCTAAGTGGTGTTATTTCTTCTAAAGAGAAAATTCGAACATGTAAATAATCATGAACATTTTAAATATTTCAAGGCAGTCTTGACATCCAGAAGATGACAGAAGAACACAAAACACCTTCTTCAGAAAATTAGGCATTTGGTAATGGTCACCTATACCGCCTTCTAGGTTTGTCTTCATAACGTTTGAATGGCTAAAGGGGATTCCATAAAAATATAGATGTTTATATTGGTTTCTTTAACAATATTTGGTTTAAAAACAAATAGTTTTTAAAAGAAAGAATATTGTAAAAATATTACAGGGTTCCCATCTTTCCCTGTTATGGTTTGGATGAGAATAGTCCCATAACTCATATGTTTATGATATGGGATTCCCCTCTGTACATTGTGAATATGTTTTATTACCATTGGTTAATGAAGAAGCTGCTTTGGCAGGGCAGAATAGAGCAATGTGGGAAATACAAGCAGAGATAGAGAAGAAAGAAGGTGGAGTCATGGCGACACCATGTATCTGCCCCAGAAGCAAGAGGTAACAAACCACGAGCCTTGTGATAAAATACAAAATAATAGAAATGGGTTAATTTAAGATGTAAGAGCTAATTAATAAGAAGCCTGAGCGAATAGGCCAAACAGTGTTGTAATTAATATATTTTTGTGTGATAATTTGGGTGTGGGTGGCCAGGAACTAAAGTACAATCTTTGTTTACAGTTTGAATGCTTGATTCCCAGTCAGTAGAACTGTTTGGGAAGGACTGCAGAAGTTGTGGCCTCGTTGGAGGAGGTATGTCACTGGGGATAGACAGTGAGGTTTTGAAACCTCATGCCAGGCCCAGAGTCTCTCTCTCTTTCTCTGCCTATGGCTCAGGGTGTAGCTCTCAGCTACTTTTCCCTCACCTGCCTGCATACCACCACACTCCCCTCCATGATAATGGACTAACCCTCCGAAACTATGAGCAAGCTCCAATTAAATGCTTTCTTCTAAAAGCTGCTCTTTTCAGCATCAAAAATGTATATAAGAAAAAAATGTATATAAGACACATGTCTAAAGTCTTCCATTGGCTGACACAGCAAAGTATGATTTCCAAAACCAACAAATCTATGCCGGCATAGACCTGTCAACTAATCCAGACAGAACCAACTAGAATCTCAACAGTTATCCCAATAATCACATCACAGATTACCAATTTACTATTGCTTATATAGGTCAGGTCTTAAAAATATTTTCATTTTCTCCAGCCATCTAACTATAACTATTTGCTTTATAACAATCATCACCTAACTATAAACAAGCTTAATGTGTAAGTACAGAGTCAAATTCAGTATCTTTGTTTTTGAAGTTTATTCAATTGTTAAAATTATGTTTTAGAAATACTTAAAAATAAAACTTTAAAAATTCATACACAAGAGTATATTTAAAATGTCTAGTACTTTGGGAGATAAATACATAGATATACATGTTTTTGACTGTGTAGAGAAGACATAAGACATTTTTACCATTTTTATCTGTAGATTATGAGACTTCATGTGGTTTTTATTTTTAATACTTTTGTCTACATTGCAATTTTTCTATGAAGCAGAGTTCTACTTTATAATTTTTTAAAATTATAAGAACTCGTTTAATATCAGTAACTTACTGACTATACAAGATGATTATTTTTATTTTTATTAGTTGAGTTTTAATTTTCTTTGGAGGAAGTTTCTTGCTATGTATCTCAGGATGGCTTCCAATTCTCCTTCCTCCTGCTCCAGCCTCCCAATCGTTGGGATTCTAAGCATGTGCACCATACCCAGCCCTGAAGTCCTGATACCTTAGAATATTCTTTCACGGGAGACACTTGTTGTAGTGAATATTATTTCTCATGTAACGTGTAATTTGCTTTGAATTGGTTAGTAGATAAATATGTGTTTATAACCTAAACGGAGAGGAGGAAAAAGCAAAACTGGAAATATTCCTTGTCTTCATTTTTCAAAAATGAAACTGGTGGGGGACCCAAAGAATGAAGATCAAGGTTGCTTGCAACCCACTCTTACCAGCGGAGAACCTTAATAATCATGTTACTTTTATGTTCCTATGTATAGTTATAGACAAAGCAATAACTTACCCATTGTCTGAATTGTTTTATATCTGTAGTCAAATTCATCTTGCAGATCTTCTAAGTACTTGGTGTCTTGTTCTGTCATCTTGATACAAAAGAGAGCATGCTCAAAAAAAATACTAAATTATGTTGCAATGTTTATACACATCATAGAAACATTATATGTACTTCTAAACAATATGCTGGAGATCCCAGCCTCCAACAGCATCTGTCAGGAGCCTACCCCTCCAGAGAGCTCCTCCACAGGAAAGCTGCATTCTGCTGGAAGACCACGTTAAATGGGCTCTTACACTTAAAGAAATATTTATTTATATTTTATGTTTATGAGCACACATGTATGCATTGTCTGAGAAGTTCAGGAGAGGGCTTTAGATACTCCCAAACTGGAGTGCCAGAGAATTGTGAACTGCCAAGTGGGAACCAACCACAGGTCCTCTGCATTAGAAAACAACTTAACCTCAAGACCCAGCAATACCAGTTTTGAGTATATATCCAAAGGATGCTCAATCATAACTGAAGGACATGTGCTCAACTATGTTCATAGCAGCATTGTTTGGCATAGCCAGAACCTGGAAACAACCTAAATGTCCCTCGACCCAAGAATGGATAAGGAAAATGTGGTGCATTTACACAATGGAGTACTACATAGCAGAAAAAAATAATGACATCTTGAAATTTGCAGGCAAATGGATGGGTCCGGAAAAAAATATATTGAGGTAACCCAGACCAAAGAAAAATATCATATGTATCCACTCATAAGTGGCTTTTAGACATAAAGCAAAGAAAACCAGCCTACAATTCACAGCCCCAGAGAACCTAGACAACAAAGAAGATCCTAAGAGAGATAAATATGGATCTAATCTACGTGGGAAGTAGAAAAAGATCAGATCTCCTGAGTAAATTGGAAGTGTGGGGATCATGAGAGAGGGTAGAAGGGGAGAGAAAAAAAAGGGGAATGGAGTGGAGAAAAATATATAGCTCAATAAAAACAATAAAAATAAAAGAGCAGCAAGTGCCATTAATCACTGAGCTATCTAGGTCTCCCAACTCTTTTCTTCCTGCTTAGGAAATCTTTCCACATCTTTCCCCTCATTTCTCGATTAGTTACAGGGTCTGCTAATCACATAGTTTCCTTTGCAGGAGAAAACGGATCCTTTTGTCCTCTCAGGGCTCGCTTCTGCTCCGTGCTGGTGTACAAGAATCAGAGAAGCGCCGCCTACGACAATTCTGCCTAAACAGTTTTTTTCTTTCTACATCTTGAGATATGTCTGCATTTCTTATTTCTGTTTTTGAGTTTTCTCCAAACCCATTCATGTGTCCTGCTTAGTCATAATAGTTGAGATCTTGAGGGTGTGTTCTCGGAAAGAACTTGCTGAATAGGGACGGAGAGGAAGGAGCTGAGCAACCAGGTGGTCTGTCCTGGGCTTTGGCTTGGAGCCCACGAGGAAGTCAGGGGCGTGATCATCGGCACCACAGAGTTAACACCAACTTGAGAGCAGTGTTGGCTGTTCCCTCTCGGGCTGTGTCCTTCCCTCCACGTCTTAAGACGGCCTAGTGTTCCCTGGACAGACTATTTCAAAGAAGCCCTTGGCAGCCGATATTCACAGAACTGGGATGGTCTATGGGCCTGAGGGAGAATCAAGGCAGAGCTGTATGTGGGGCACTTTGGTTGTACCAGACTTCTTAGGAGTTAAGAACAAATCCGGGGACCGTGGAGCTCAGTGTAGAGAACTGGCTTAGCACGCACCAAGTCCTGGACGCAGACCTAACATACACCACTACCCACAAAAAATATTGGAGACATCTGTGTGCTTGATTAATGTGCAGAAGTATCCTCATTACAAAACAATATAACAGCCCCTGTCTGCTTTTACACATTCATGGAGTCGGTACAGTCTATGGTTTAGCATCACGGTATGCTCAGGCATTGGCCTGAGGTTCACCTTTAGGGTCTAATTGTTTTTTTGGCGATGATGGGAGCAAAGGCATGTCTGCTTCTTTACTTGTTATGGAAGATGATTAAACTGCAGGACTGGAAGCAAAAGCTTAGAAGGCCATTCACTTAAACTCTGCCTACAATTCAGCCAGTGGACCCAGGGCTTTACCTGTAGTTGGTTTAGTTTTAGAGAATTATTATTTCCATAAAAAACCAACAAGTAAATGAATACTGCATAGGTTCTGGAAAGGGAAAGGGAAATTGGTTTGATCTTTCTAGTCAACACAGTGGAAGGTCTGTCCTACTTAAAATAATCTTTTCTAAATCAACGAAAGTAACATCTAGAATAAGACCGATGGGGAGGAGAAACCAAAATGTACTAATATTAAAGGAAATGAGTGATATAATGGGTTCTACAGATAAAGGAAAATAAAAGAATAGAGAGCCCAATTAGATGAAATGGATACACTTTTTTTTTTTTGAGACAGGGTTTCTCCATAGCTTTTGGTTCCTGTCCTGGAACTAGCTCTTGTAGACCAGGCTGGCCTCGAACTCACAGAGATTTGCCTGCCTCTGCCTGCCTCCCGAGTGCTGGGATTAAAGGCGTGCGCCACCACCGCCTGGCTACAAGTTACCCAACGTACTGTAGAAGACACAGATAATGGGCTAGCTTGGTACTAGAAGCAGGTGGAGTTTAAAAGCGTCCTCAAGGGAACCTTTCCTATACAAGCACAGCGTGAGGGAAACCCACTGTCCTCTGAGACCTGTCCACACTGGCCTGTAGCACACAGGCTGCCCCTAGCCTTTCCAGGTGGCTACCTAAGGCCACTCACCTGAGACATCTAATTAATGTCACTCACCTGCACACTGTTTTTAATGGCAGCCACTTTGTGCTCCACGTTTCTCTGTCTTTCCGATACCGAAGAACTTTGTAAGGATTTCTCCAGAGGTCCCTGCAAAAAGAATGTCTTGTAATTTCAGTTGTTGATAAAGCATGTTTATAGTTATTGTCCAGGATATACTATTTTGACTTGAGGTTTGGATAAATGAGATACATAATACTCTACAGCTATTAAAACTCCCGCTGAAAGAGCTGGGCATGTGGCCCTACTGGCAGAGAAGGCACCGGGCTTCAGGTTCCCAACACCCAGCACAGAAAAAAAATTAAGCTTGTAGCGTCCACAGTCAGACCAACTCAAGATTTTTCTCAGATGCCAGGATGAAAAGAAAAAGAGAATGTTAGTTCTGTGCCCTTATTCCTGTACAAATGGAATATATATTATATATAATATATATTTGTGTGTATATGTATATATCACCATTATATATGTACATATATATACACACACATACATATATGCATGCAGAGAGGGGGAAGCCAAGGTAAGCAGAGAGCTAAGTAAGACAATGTTGGCAAAGAGAACACGGGATACCTCAGACAGTTGCCTAAGGACAGTAAACCACAGCCCAGGGGCAAGAGTCAGGTCTCCAGAGGCCACAACCATGGCTCCCCCAAGGCTCCAGCCCTAACCATCCTTGACAATTCCACTTCTCAACAAGGACACAGATCTAAAGTTCCCTTTGTTTTTTCACTGGGGCCTTGGAGGAAGGTCTGGCTCCGGGCACTGTGGAAAGTACTAACTGACATGACGTAGACTGTATTATAATCTAAGCAACTAAGCAGATTACAAAACACTAGACATAATTTATATAAGTATATGAATACATGCATAGATACTTGGAATTAAGTAGATATGGCAAGAATAACACATTACCAAAATGTAATATTAACACTAATCGCAAAATTATGTGTCATTTTATGATTTTAAAAAGATTTTAGCTTTGTGTGTGCATGTGTGTGTGTATATGTGTGTGTGGTATGTACCACATCTGTGCAGGTGGAGCGGAGTCTAGACGTCTGATGCCCTGCAGCTGGAATTATGGGAAGTTGGGAGCTACCCAGTGTGGGTGCCAGAAACTGTACTGGGGTCCTCTGTTAAGAACAGCAAGTGCTCCTAACCGTGGAGCCATCTCTCTAGCTCCTACCTCATGGCTTAAAGAAAAAAAGTCCATAATTTCCTACAGTCTATTCCCATGACTCTTGAACTTCATGTTCTTTTAAATTTGTGTTATAGGGTCACACTAACTTGGGCTTCAATCAGCAACTGAGGTGTCGCACCTGCTGAGCGAGGATTCATTTTTTACTTGACAGCAAAGGGAACTTAGTGAAGGAATCGGGGGAAAACGATTCGGGTAAGCAGAAAAGCCAAGCGGCTCCTCCAAGCCCTGTATCTTGGCCACGCTAACGGTCTAACACTGAGGATGGCCCTGAAACACGAAGCTCTCAGCTGTCTGAAGACGAGAACAAGATGGGTAGGCAGCCCCTGCACCGCAGAGCTGAGCAGAGAGCGAGGTCGGAAAGGATGACTTGACAATGCACAGCGGAGTCCTGGCGGGACCTCAAGGAAAACCCACGCTGTCTGCTCCCGATGGAGCGCGCTCTTAACCATACTGCATTCTTCCGATTAGGAAAGCCTTCCCTCTCCCACACCCATCTCCATTGTTCCGTTATTTGTCTACATACTTGAAACGTAAAGAAATCCTTTGTTTATGATAGCATGCAATAGCAACGTATTTTCAGAGTTACTTTGATTAGTATGTACTCAAACATTCTGACTTGACTAGTAGCTAACAGTTGGAAGGAGTGGAGGACACACATCCATGAAAGAGGACGCAGAGACTGCCCGTGAGAGAAAAGGATACAGAGAGAGGAGACGGGACAACTATATATGCGACAGGCAGAAAAACGGACAGCCCCAGCTGGGCAGTTGTGGCTCATGCCTGTAATCCCACCACTTAGGAGGCAGAGGCAGGTGGATTTCTGTAAATCCCAGGCCAGGCTGGTCTACAGAGTGAGTTCCAGGATAGCTAGGACTGTTACATGGAGAAACCCTGTCTCAAATAATAAAAATAAAAATAAAATAAAAAAGAGAGCCCTAAACTGGAGCTTCCAAATGAAAACAATACTGTTCTTCATCACCCGAGAATAAGCTATTAAAACTCAAAAGTCTTACAAAAACATCCATACCCTGATAGTGACTAGAAGTCTTTTTGCTTTTTTTTTTTTTTTTTTTTTAAGATTTATTTGTTATGTATACAGTGTTCTGCCTGCATGTGTGTCTGCACTGCAGGCCAGAAGAGGGCACGGGGATGCATTGCAAAGGGTTGCGAGCCAGCTTTTGGTTGCTGGGAACTGAACTTAGGACCTCTGGAAGAGCAGCCAGTGCTCTTAACCTCTGAGCCACCTCTCCAGCCCCTTAGAAGTTTCTTTTATTGTTTTTCTGGGCTATATATTCCTTACCTCCTCCCCTTCTAACCTCTCCCATGATCCCCATGCTCCCATTTTACTCAGGTTATTTTGTCTTTTTCTACTTTCTACTTCCCATGTAGATTAGATCCATGTATGTCTCTCTTAGGGTCCTCTTTGTTGTCTGGGTTCTCTGGGATTGTGAATTGTGGGCTGGTTTTTCTTTGCTTTATGTCTGAAAGCCACTTATGAGTGAGTACATGTTTTATTTGTCTTTCTGGGTCTGGGTTACCTCACTCAGTATGATGTTTTCTAGAAGTTTTAATAGTTTAAGAGATACTTTCATTAGATCTTCATAAGTTGTATGAGTCACTGAAGTACAGAGAATGTCATTTAGAAAATGTATTGTTTTATGAACTTAGAGGATTAACTGAAAAAGTGTACCTTAGAGATTGTAGATTCCCCTACTTATCTTTGCTAGGTTCTTACCACATTCAGAAGAATGAGATAAAATATATTGTAAATTACATCAGGGCAAAGAATGGTCAAATAAGCACTTAGGGAGTTTCTGTAAATCAAAACTCCTGTCGGTGGAGTAGCAGCTTAGACTCGGGGGTGTCGGTGAAGACAAACACGCCAGAGAGGCAGAGTCCAAACCGGAACTGGGAACCTAACTGAAATGTGGTCACAGCCTTCCTAGATTAATACTGTAAGATCTTGGACCAGAAGTTAGCTATGAAAACAGAAAGATATCTAGAGTAGTTAGTCTGGGTGCTACACATCTGTGATCCCAGCACTTGGAAGGAGGACGGAAAGAGTCCATGTACAAGGCCAGCCTCAGCTACACAGTGAGTTCAAGGCCAGCCTCGGCCACACAGTGAGTTCAAGGCCAGCCTCAGCTACAAAGTGAGTTCAAAGCCAGACAGCACTGCATAAAACCCCATGGCCAAAAGGGAAAAAAAAAACAGGAATTTGAAAAGATTTGGCAATTATGCCAATATGGAAAAAAAGACAAGAAACTTCTCAAAGATGAGCCCAAGACCTTGCACACAAGTGCCAGGGAGCTGGTGGCACTAGCCACACAGAAGAAGACCCTGATTTTGCAGAAAATTGAACTCAAGGGGAAAGCAAGATCACAAACTCAGAGACTATGACCTGACAAGCCAACTAGGTGACGGATAATGCATATGATTATGGATCAGAAAACGTTACCTGGATAGGCATGTTGGCTGCAGCCAGTATTCTTCTCTCTTCCCGTAAACAATTTGAGATGACCACAGCTACATGCATGGGATTTCCGTGAAACTTTCCCTGAAAAATAGCAAAAGCAGGCAGCATAAAAGGCTCTGAAGACACACGTATGTCATAAGGAAATGTTATACTTAACAACCTGCAGTAATCTCCCAAATAATTATTTGGGATCTGTTCCATGTCTATTCGCTTGCAATGTCATGGATACCTAGACTCTTAAGGAGAGAATGTTGCTCTCTTTGCTTTCAAAACTCCAAGCAGAAGTTCTTTGAGACTTCTTTATCAAAGCCCTGAACACACTGGCAGATCAGCTGACTTAGGCGCTAGGCAGGTTTTGGACAGAGCGGTTATGTCCCTGTGAGTTCTCCAGGACCAAAAGGGTCATAGCTGTGCATGGGTAGCTCGCTGCTTCAGGCTAACTGTCTATTCCAAGATCCCCAGTTGATGGCATTCATGTCAATTATAACTAACTAACTAACTAACTAACTAACTAACTAACTCATAGCTAACATTATACTCAAGCGAAACCAAACCCACTTTTCAGCCCTGATATCTTTGACATTGAAACATGTATATATTTTATTGCCAAGATTAATGGTGCATATATTGTTAATTGGTAGCCCGAGGCACTGTTGAGCCATCAGATACATTCTGTAAATGAAAGTCGTGAATCTCTTTAGGTGGTCGCAGTGCCCAGCAATGGGTGTGGGCTCATTTGTCTTACCCGCAAGAACTGTGTTTTCTAGCCTGAAAAACCATAATTTAGCCAGGAGTGTTAAAACCTCTTTACCAGACTTTCTTGAGGCAAGATTAGCAAGAGGCACAAAAGGCAAGCATGCTAGTTGAATCTCTGCCCTCTTCTCTTGAGGGGGTACTGATACCCATGAAATGGTCAAAAGGTCAACGGCAGAAAAGTTAGCAGTCCAAAATGTCAAAAATTAACACCAATCAAAAGTAGATTAAACAGACAACTGAACCAAAGGATCTTTCTGGAGAGAAAAATGAAGGTTGTTGGTTGTAAACATTATTGTGGCTGTGACTTCTGCGGTAGTATTTTAGATTTTGTGTCAATTATCATTTCCACCTGTGAAACTGGGGTAAAAACCAGTTATTCTGGTTCCTGTTCTTCCACGTTCACTCTTTAAACATCCTTTCCTTCAGATCAAGGGGATACAAATTGGAAAAGAAGAAGTCAAACTCTCACTATGTGCTGATGATAGGATAGTTTACATAAGGGACCCCAAAAATTCTACCAAGGAACTTCTACAACTCATGAACACCTTCAGTAATATAGCAGGATACAAGATTAACTCAAAAAAATCAGCAGCCCTCCTATACACAGATGATAAATGGACTGAGGAAGAAGTCAAAGAAATATCACCCTTCACAGTAGACACAAATAGCATAAAATATCTTGGAATAACTCTAACGAAACAAGTGGATGACCTGTATAACAAGAACATTAAATCTTTGAAGAAAAAAATTGAAAAAGATACCAGAAAATGGAAAGATCTCCCATGCTCTTGGGTACATAAAATTAACATAGTAAAAATGGCAATCTTACCAAAAGCAAATCTACAGATTCAATGCAATGCCCATCAAAATCCCAGTAAAATTCTTAATAGACCTCAAAAGAACAATACTCAACTTCATATGGAAAAACAAAAAACCCAGGATAGCCAAAACAGTCCTGTACAATAAGGGAACTTCTGGAGCCATCACAATCTCTGTCTTCAAACTTTACTACAGAGCTACAGTGCTGAAAACAGCCTGGTATTGGCATAAGGACAGACAGGAGGACCAATGAAACCGAATAGAAGACCCAGATATCAATCCACATGCCTATGAACACCTGACGTTTTAAAAAGAAGCAAAAAATATAAAATGGAAAAAAGAAAGCATATTTAACAAATGGTGCTGGCATAACTGGATATCAACATGTAGAAGAATGGAAATAGATCCATATCTATTGCCGTACACAAAAGTCAAGTCCAGATGGTTCAAAGACCTCAACATAAAACCAACCACACTGAACCTCATAGAAGAGAAAGTGGGAAGTACACTTCAATGCATTGGCACAGGAAACCACTTCCTGAATATAACCTTAGTTGCACAGACACTGAGAAAAACAATTAATAAATGGGACCTCCTGAAACTGAGAAGCTTCTGCAAATCAAAGTACACAGTCAATAAGACAAAATGGCAATCTACAGAATAGGAAAAGATCTTCACCAACCCCACATCAGACAGAGGTCTTGTCTCCAAAACATACAAAGAACTCAAGAAATTGGTCATCAAAAGAAAAAACAATCTAATAAGAATGGAGTACAGACCTAAACAGAGAACTCTCAACAGAGAAATCTAAAATGGCTGAAAGACACGTAAGGAAATGTTCAACATCCTTTGTCATCAGAGAAATGCAAATCAAAACAACTCTGAGATTCCATCTTACACCTGTAAGAATGGCCAAGATCAAAAACACTGATGACAACTTATGTTGTAGAGGATGTGGGGTAAAGGGAACACTCCTTCATTGCTGGTGGGAGTGCAAGCTGGTACAGCCCCTTTGGATGTTAGTTTGGCTTTTTCTCAGAAAATTAGGAAACAACCTTCTTCAAGACCCAGCAATACCACTTTTGGGTATATACCCAAAGGATGCTCAATCATACCACAAGGACATGTGCTCAACTATGTTCATAGCAGCATTATTTGTCATAGCCAGAACCTGGAAACAACCTAAATGCCCCTCGAATGAAGAATGGATAAGGAAAATGTGGTACATTTATACAATGGAGTACAATACAGCAGAAAAAAATAACGACATCTTGAAATTTGCAGGCAAATGGATGGCTCTAGAAAACATTTTGAGTGAGGTAACCCAGACCCAGAAAGATAATTATCACATGTACTCACTCATGAGTGGCTTTTAAACATAAAACAAAGAAAACCAGCCTATAATTCACAATTCCAGAGAACCTAGACAACAATGATGACTCTTAGAGAGACATTCATGGATCTAATCTACATGGGAAGTAGAAAGTAAAAAAAGACAAGATAGCCTGAGTAAATTGGGAGCATGGGGACCAGGGGAGAGGGCAGAAGGGGAGGGGAGAGGAAGGGAGGGGAGCAGAGAAAATGTATAGTTTAATAAAATCAATAAAAAAAAAGAAATGCTGAAAGCAAATATCTACCAAAAAAAATATCTTTTCCTTCTTTAAGACGGAAAGTTCCAGCATAGAAGAAGTGAACTGGCTAAAATTCAGAAGGCACAGATACGAAAGTGACCCCACTCAGTCTGTGGGAATGCCGTTCCTAAAACATCGACAATTTCAGTCTATTTGAATTTATTCCCGCTAATCTTGGCAGCTCTTGGTTCTTTCCATATAGCTTGTTTTTAAGTGCTTCTCGCCCCAGAACCTATGTTTTCCCTTCTTTTACCTGACGGGCATTTCACTGCTAAGAAAGGGGTTCCTTTCGGGCTAATTTGGAAGCTTTGCAATGAATGCAAATTGAGATTTTGTCCTTCTGAGACGAGGATCCCTCTGATGCTCCAGACACACCGTGTTGCCTTTTCTCTTCTGTTGATGGAGGACCGCCCATCGAGGAGCTGTCCTAATCACTCTGCTGTGCGGAGCTCATCTTCCGTCTCCTGCCAACCTTAAACTTCCACGTCCTTCCTTGCCCCTCTGCTCTCCTCCGTGTCTTTCATTATCTTTGTTTCTTTCCTTTAAGGGCCAAGCATCAACCCTCTTTTCATCGAAGAATATATTACTTTCCTCTGCGTATTCAATATCAAATTATTATTTCGTGTCCCTAAGTATTAAAGACGTGTTCACGCTCACCTTTGAGTGGTGTCTATGGATGTAAATCTCAGAACAGCAGTAAAATGATCCCCAACATGTGTGTTGCTTGCAAGGAAAAAGCAACCCAGAGGGAGACACACTATGGTGTTCTGCTTCTTTGTCAAGGTATTGCGAAGGTTTCAAGCTCCCTGCCGTGACCCCCACTGTCTCCTGGTGTCGGTCAACAGAAGCTTTTAACTGCAGCAAAGTCGGGTTTATTAGTCTTTTCCCCCAGTGATTAGAATTTTTAATGATCTGCTTAATAAACCTTTTACTAGGTTTCTGTAGTGGGGATTGTTTTCTTTGTCTTTCTGAGTCTAGATGAACATTGAGATTAGGGGTTGTAAATGGTACAGCTGTGACTGCTACATTGTTATCCTGGTGTTTGTAGCCAGGGCTTCTGTCTACAATGCTAACCTGGTGTATGCTAGCCAGGGCTTCTGCTTACAATGCTAACCTGGTGTATGCTAGCCAGGGTTTCTATCTACAATGCTAACCTGGTGTATGCTAGCCAGGGCTTCTATCTACAATGCTAACCTGGTGTATCCTAGCCAGGGCTTCTATCTACAATGCTAACCTGGTGTATGCTAGCCAGGGCTTCTATCTACAATGCTAACCTGGTGTATGCTAGCCAGGGCTTCTATCTACAATGCTAACCTGGTGTATGTAGCCAGTGCATCTATCTGTACAACAATGGTAACCAGGATATTGAGAGTAACACCAGTAGCCCTAATAATCTAGCTTTGCTGTTAATTTCAGTTTATTTGGAGCTTTTCAGCGAAGACGGTTTCTTTTATTTTTTCCTTTTGTTACACAGTTCCAACAGCATTCATTGAGAACCCTTCGTTCCCACTGCTGGCCCAGTTCTCTCATCAATCCTGTCTTTCCACCAACATGAGAGGTCTTCAGTTCCATCTTAGAGATCCGTCTCTGTGTCACCAGTGAGGTGTCACTGGAGCTTTCTGGTAAGTTCTGAAAGCAAGGGCTTTCTGCATTTCCACGCGAATTTCAGAATCAGCTTGCAAGATTCCCCTATGCACACACATGTTCACACACTTCACACATTCACAGAATCTCCCCCCTCCCCCCACCACAGAGTTTCAGTGTCATGGGATCTTTAAAGCAATTAAGGGAGATTTGGTATGCAATGCATATTGTTCTGATCCAGTCATAGCAGAATTGTAAAATGTCTCTCTGCTCCATAGGAGATCGGAAATA